CAGAAAAAAATGGCCTGTGAATCACAAAAAATAAGAAACAAGCACATCCTCGATGACTAACAATGCATCCCTCAAATTAGGTCAAACACTTTTAGGTAAAAAACAAAACAAATCATAAAAACAACTGATAACTTTTCTTTATTCTCCTATAATTTCTCTAATTTTACATAAAGAGTTCTGTTTATTTATAAAAACTTACTTATCACCAATTCTAATTACGGTTGTTAATACCATAATTTGAGAGAAAACGACCAGTCAATGTGGGGAGGAACAACTAAATCAAATGCCAAGGGCTGTCGTCATAATATATTCATACCGCGGAGCAATAACATAAACCATAAACTGCCATGAACAGGGTTGTGTATGTGTGTGTGTGTGCGCGCGTGTGTGTGTGTTGGGTGTAAAACAAAACAAAAATCTCTAAAAGAACTCTCTTAAATGCGCAAACCGCGAGGCCCTATATAAATGACAAATCATGTAACCAAGCATAAAAATAACAAATTCTAATTTTCCCCATAATTGTGCCATCAAGGCTTTTGACCCACTTATGAACGGGAGCCCTGGACACACTCCAAGTCTCAGTTCATATACATCAGAGCTGGTCGGCCATGTTGGCCACAATCAGCCAACAGATTGAAATGCTCACCTTGATGAGGCCGAATCGTAGGAAGTGGGTCCTGTGTTAGTCTGAAAGAGAAGGACATGAAAACATTTGAGGCAATCGTCAAAACATCACTCGCCAGTACGTGCTGTTCATATCATGTGGAAGAGAAGGGTAGTTTGAGAGTCAGTGTTATTCCACAAATACTATACTTCAGTCATTTTATTTCTTTTAAATTTTGAGAAAATTAAAGGAAAGAAGAGGGTCCAAACCAATACTATAATTTATGTACTTTATAATGTCTGGGGAAACCCCTCAACATTGACCGTGGAACGATGCTGACTGTAGGCAATCTTGTCTTCTCTGGGATAACAACATGTGTTGTGGATGAGAACTTGTATGTTACAGCCAGCACTCGAGATACCAACCACAGAAGTAAACAAAGCAGACTACACAAGAATATGTATCAAACACTCATAGCAACATACACTGAGGACAGAAGGAGGAGAAGTGTAAAGATATAAAGAAGAAGAAATAAATTTCACAAAACCGCCAGCAGATTCCCGAGATATTGGTGGGGACAGATGTGTACAAGTTCAGTCAGACTTCAAAAGAATGTCAAAATAGCACACAAACGGTCCTGTACAACTGAACAAATTATACTGGTCCACCTTTGCCCTCCTCCACTTTCCTGGGAAGGGGGGGGGGGGGGGGGGGGGGGCATGAGCAAATCACACGTCACTGTTCATTCAGGTTCACAAAATTCCCAGAACAAAAATATGCATCGCATTAACCCACCCCCCCAGATTCAGATAATCGTGTTAATTTCATCAGTGTGACAGCTGCTACTCCTCTGACCGAGATCAGAATAACACCACTGATGACTCCACAAAAAAAAAAAATTAGACATGAATGCACAGATGATCAGATGACAGTGATTTACGGATACCAATTAGATTTGTTAATGTACTGGGGAGGGGGG